ACTAATATCTAATTTGTCGATGAACAAAAAATATAACTGAATCCCAATAAATCAAACATTACAAAGGAATTCAAAATGGTTAGTAAAATAGTTACAATTCCATTTTGCCATATTTGATTTGCTTATAGGTATCATATCGTATGGGAATTTCACGTCAGGCTTAATTTTTTACAACTTACGACAGGGATATAAGATCAGAACAAATACTTATATACTTTTTTTCTTAGTACATTTGAGCTTGCTTAAAATCTTGAACAATATAATTAACTTTCTACTAAATAACTTTAACTTTCTGTAACGAAAAAAACGAAACTAGGCGGATCTATTGCTACGTGATAAAATTTATTCAAAACAATGTACATAGGATATTGAAAAAATAAGTTTCTGTTTAAATTATTGATTTAAACCTGTATTTAAAAGAGTAATCTACAAATGTGTTCTAATTATTGGGTTGTCCGGAAAATAATGCAGGATTTTAAGTTTTCATTAAAAAAAATCTATATAAAATATTCTGTTTACGTTTACAGGATTACNTTTTGATTAAAGAACATTGCTTTAAAGTAACTAGTTTCTTTTTTTTTGTTTAATACCAAAATCCTGCATTATTTTCCGGACAACCCAATAGTACAACAAAACTCATTGATTATTTATTATTGAACAATAATAAACAAGTTTTTGTAAGGCCTGTGTTTCGAAAAGAGTACTTCAAGTCGAAATTCCCCATCATCATTAGAATGTTTTCTCCTCGGGTTTTTTTCGGTTCAAGTCGAAAGGCATACTAGACGATGGGTCGTCATTAGATGACCAAATAGACGATTCGTCATCATCATACCGTTTCAGTGGCTGTGAGAGTGGGCCTGTATTTATTCAGTCTAACCGTTCAAATCTTTAGAGCCGGACTTGTTTAATCTCCCGTACATTAAAGAAACGATGTTATTTACAGGCGTAATACATCATCAGGGGGCTTGACTTCGACTTTTCCCATTCTTCATTTTACTACGTTCTAAAATGAGTTATTTTTATTATTCTTCGTGTAGTCGGAACATTAATTACTTTTATCTAATCGAATTTTTCTTCACTAATACATTTGGGATCTTTGATTTAAAATTTTATTTTAAAGTGAAGCTTTCAATTATATAATACAATAAAAAACTATCACTGTATGTTTACGTAGTTTGGAGATTTCTGATCATTTTGGATTAACCCTGTCAGACGCGTTTTGTCTTTTCGCCATCTTTAGTATTCGGCCATCCGTGCCTCACCCTGCTTACAACCCTGACTAAAGGACTCCTATTGTAAATGGTTGAGAAAACAACACTCGCACGGTCGGCCTGAAAGATCTAATAACTTATGGTCACAGATTGTATTTATAATTCAAAATGATGATTGGCAGTTCAATTTGAAAAAATTATCATTGGCCAAGGTATAGCTAAATAGGTACTTTTGCTTTACAAAAGAAATTAAAATATCCACAAATCATGGATAAAATCCAAGATTGACTCCAAATAAAAAAATACAAGAATCGTGAAGTAAACACAGATAGAAACACAAATAATCAGTTAATCTAGGTGTAAACAGTACTTTTGTTGTTCAGAAATTTTCTGTCATTGTTAAGGTAAGCAAACAATTAAACCTCTTTGTTTAAAACAGTCAAAAAGGGCGTTTCATCCGGGCGAGCATTAGTACAAACAATGCGTTTGATTAGACGTACAGAGGCGGCGTTACCCGTGCTACTGTCTCGAACAGGTTTTTCGTTTTATTCAGAAGAACAAGTTAGTTGAAGAGCGTAAGATTGTGGATGAATATTGAGCGAGTGGAGACATGACAATGGGACGGGAGAGTAACCGAACGTCCAAAGGGGTACAGACTCCTTTGTTTATCTTCGTTAAACTTGATTTTATTTGGTGTTAGTTGAACGGTAGGAAATTCTAGTGGGTCTAATGATTCCAAAATGTCCGTGCACGAGATGGTGGGACGTGATTGTGTGAGACCTTTGAAACCCAATACGCTGGACCTCATTTTCTGGACCTTTGGCTTCTGTCAAATCAAATCTTTCTTAAAGTAAGTCGACTGACGTGAATATATACATTGTAACAAAGGACTATTTAAACCTTAATAAAAAGAAATTAACAAATTTATTGAGTAACAAAAGAAAGGATAATGGGATCGTTTAGCGCAGATTGACCCATGGTCGTATTAATCAAACCAATCATGGCATAATATTAACTTATTAAATGTTCCAGTACTTTGAAAAAAAATATCATAAAATGATTTTGTTACTGTATACATGCATACAGAATAAGATTTATTTAAATTACGAAAAACATACAAAGGATTCGTGCAAGAGTTTTATTAAGCTAATTAAGCCTGCTACGTTTCCGCCAAGGAGCCATTTATGCACTTTTCATAAGTAAAATCTGCATGAATATTTATCTTTTAGAGCACCAAGACGGAAATTGGGGAGGGGATGGGGCTTGCAATAAAACAGCTGGATTAACTTTAATTAACTTGCATGTGCGAAATTCCTCAATTGGCGTAACTTCAGCAGAATATAGGCATTAAATAAATATTATCTGAGGGTAAAGTAATTGTATAAGGAAAACAATCCATTCGGGAATATCGATTAATAAAGGACCATTTTATCTCAACATTTTAATTTAATAAGCTTTTTTCTTACAAAAACATTTACGTTAGATTACTTAATGTTATTAATAAAAGGTCCTGAATTTTGATTAAACTTAATCAACTCTGATTTTATTGTCGCTAATAGAATCCGTCAAACAAATAACAAATCGTGTTATCATAGAAAATTAAGTCTATCGTACATCCTATAAATATTCAAACAAATCTGTCGTGGAAGTTACGAGGATTTTTATGCGACTTTCAGCATTTAAGTGATAGTTATTCCTCAGATAACCATTAATACCGACAGCACAAACTACAAGCTTCCTTATAATTTTTGTCTAGAATGCTAAATACTTAGATTTGGTTCGCAACGAGTCTGCAATTGTGTTCCTAATCTTAAATTTTATCAAATTTATTATTTGATAAGTAATAAACATCATTTAAAAATGATTCACCATTAGACACTGTTATTCTCTTTTGATTTGGTTACCTCAAAAACGAAACGGAATTGATATTTATTTGCAGTAGATGTGTGTATACATACATCAATTCTTTTTTTTAAAGTGGAATATATAAAAACAATAGTGATGAAAAACATAAACCAGAAATATAAGATTAATATTTCATAAGCAATACACCTGTATAAATACGGGTTCTTTTGTAATTGTGCTCCTAATATAATATTTTAACGAATTTATTTATATTATTTATCTGAGATTTAAAAAAACGTCGCGGAGATATGTATATTCCATAAGAAATAAGCAACATTTAAAAATGATTCTCCTTTCTCATTTTGGTCATTTTTACTATTTATTTCAATGATGAAAGTGAACATGAAACAAAATTAAGTTTTGTAGAATAGTCCATTTTAAAAAATATTTTACTCGGAATATTATATACGGCTTTTTTTTCTTTCTTTTTTTTAACGAGGGTTCGAAACAGCAGAGGTTATATCAACCCTTGGGGTGCTGGGGTTTTTGAAAAAAAGCCCATTTGTAAGTATGTCGGGTTCGAATCCAGGGCCGCTGGATTCGAACCCGGGACCTTTACCTTACAGTGATGAGCGCCGTGTCAACGCCTAAACCGTAGCGGCCACCGACGCCCCCGGCCTTTGTTTATGTGGAAGATGAGAATAACAATAGCGATTGTCCATAAGAAGGAAATATAAGATTTATATGTTATATGCAATGGTCATTTATAAATACTGGTTCTTTTAGACTTTTCTTTTATAATTGAAATAATGATAATAATATATTAATAACATAAATAGATGTGCGAAGCAGACTTTTTTTTAAAAAGAATTTAATTTCATATGCTGAAACTATAAGCTTAGTGTTTTATAAGCAGCAGTAATTACTCAACTATAAAACTCTTAATTTTTTCGTGTGATATTCTTCTACTATAATATAATATGTATTTGATTTTTATTTTATTGCTTCGATAGACACAAATTTGCAAGTGTCATGAATCCTGTTTTTTTAAACTTTAAATATGTTACGAGCAATATTAGTAGTTTTAGTAATTTTCTCCTTTATTACACCTTTTACGATAGGTATTTTTTATCGTTTATACATTTTATTATTTGAGTATAATTTAATTGGTTTTTTAAGACCAACATCAGGAACGAATAAAAGCTTAATAATACATAAATTAAGCTTAATAAAACCAACCTTAATATTTCACAAGCAATTTACAAAAACATAAAAACTAGTCTTTATCAATTTTTACCACAGTTGAAGTATCAACCAATTAAATATTGATGATGTACTATAATATAAAATAATATTTTAATTATTAGCTTATTATTTAAAGTAATTAATTCAGTCAATTAAAACCGCTGCATATATGAATTAAAATAAAATAATATATTAACCGGAGTGGTCTCATTTTTTATTAATTTAAAAACTCTGATTCTAATACATATTTTTAATACATATTACTATATGTACTATTACATATAATTCAATTAACTAATTAAGCTTAGTATTCAGTAAAGCGGTAGTAATGAACTTCCTTTTGCTTTTTGCTCTTTTACAACATTTGATATATAACATGTCAATTTTTCTTTTGAGTAAATTACTATCAAAAATAGTACCCCGATCAGTGTTTCATAAACAATAGTGGCTTCCTTTTAAAATTTCTTTTCAAATTGCATATTTTTCTAATATTATAACTGGGACTAATTTTTCTTGTATGTGTAGAATATAAAAGAATATATAACCGTGCAATTGTGATGTTTTTATAGATTTAAATAATTTCTTTTCTGTCTAATGCATACTATTTTTTAAGTAACGATTTTTGTTAAAGCTGTTTCACCTCAGAGCAAATCAAACTTTTATATATATTTCATTTGGTTCTGCATGTAATGTTTTCCCCTTTTATCCGCATACCTTCTCTGGTTTTTTATTTCTTTAGGTCTTTATTTCACTTCCAGGGCCGAGGTGATCAAGAAATTCTTCTTCGAGATTGTAAAACGGCTGGAAGGAGAAAGAAATGAGTGAATATAAGAGCGAGTGAGATAGATGAAGAGTTGTAGAGGCGGGTTTTGTGATTGGGTTGTTTGAGTTGATAATTCCATCTGGGTCTCCCCTCTTCGGGCCTAAGCCAGTCGTCTAGTCCTCTTGGGTGGCCAGTACCCTACCGACTTTCGATCGGATTTCTCGACTCCAGTGTACAGTGTTTTTGTTCTTTGAGTGCAGAATTAGTGCATTAATAACCAAGAAAAAGTGATGGTTGATCAGTGCTTTGTCACGGGTTCCTGGCGGGGTGAGCGTTCAGCCTTTTGGCCCACGTCGCACCATCCGACCTCTTGAGGATGACACTCGGCCTAGTTACTAAACTACGAATACTTTAAAAAAATTAAAACTAAGTAAGTTACTTTTAATTAAAGAATATTGATAAATTCTGAAAACCGATTAATAACCATATCAAAAGATTAAATTCACCTTTCTAACGTATTGGCCACAAAAACTTCCTAAACTTACAATATTTGATAAAATTACATAATTTTAGCCAGAGTTTGCGTTTGGAAGATGAATAAAACGAAAATATAGTGTTTTAAGGATAAAATCTGCCAAATCCCTAGTCACTTCAAGTTTTATTTTTCGCTGTCGCAGGAAACCCTAAAAATTTTCCCCTTTTCGTACAATATTTGAAAACCTGTTTCCGGATGTTGACAATGGCTGAGTCGTTGAATAGACAGGCACAATGAAGCCCTCGCGTGGAAACTTAAGTTGAAAAGAAAACCGAACGAGCGTAGTATTATGAAATACGTTTTCTCGCAAAATTCCTTCAACTGCTGCAGCATTGCAATATTTTGAAAGAAATCAAAACTAATGAACAAAGGGAGTTTTCCGTTCGATCCTATGCGGCTTTTTACACAACTGCATCAACAGCCTTTAGGATAACTCTTTCCAATATCAATAAGTAGTAAAGCATATTAAGAATAATATAGAATCTTTTTCCCACAAGGTACTCATTAGAAAAACAACAAAACCTTTGAATTATATCTGTGCAAACGATATGACCATAAAACTTGACTTTAATATAATTTTATCAATGGAAATTATCAGAAATAGATTCGTAATATAAAATCTATTGGGTAGGAATAGAATATGAGGCTTGATTTACAATTGTAAATTTTGAGACAAAAGATTAAAAATGAGGCAATCTGATTTTAAAGATTAGATGTTGTTAACATAAATAATTAAAATTGATTAGTAAAATTATATTATACCATTTAACTTAGTACCATTTGTTCCTAAAAAAAAGGATCTACGATATGGTTCCGTAAATTTACACTTTCAAAATCAGAACAAAAAAATTATTATGGAATATATTAATAGAAAATACTAACAATATTCAAAAGAAAAAGTAGTATTAAATTTTTGAAATGTAGAAATATCAATAAAAAAATACTTGTGTAGGAAAATTATTATCTGTTCTGCTTTGAGATGGTTGATATTCTTAAAACGATGCCAATATAGTATAATGATTTATCTTTTTAGGAACTTTGACATTTTCAAAACAAACCTCTAAAGGGGTGTTTTTCGCTCTTATTTTGATCTAGGAGCTTCTAAATTTCTAAAACATTAGCTATGTATAAAAAAAGGAAAGAACAAACAAAAATGAACCTCTATTGCTTTTTTTAAAATTAATCTGTCAGTCAGAATATAAATTCTATGACTATTTACTTTTTTGTTATAAGTACTTTGGGATTTGTCGAACGATACCCAAATAGTAAGGCAATTAAACTTATACTTTGATTTAGGATTTGTAGAAGAAAAAATTGTGGCAATACATTAATAGGGAAAAAATAAACTATTATCTATGCCTGGGATTTTCTAACTTGTTGCAATAAGCCCAAATTGGATAACTGAAATATCCAATAAACAGTGAATTGAGTTTATGGCAATAAAACGAAAAAGAAAAATTAATGACATATTGTGTTAAAAACTTAAAATAAATTAGACATTTATTGACTGAATAATAATTACTCTGAAGGCATTGACTCAATGATTTTTAAAGCTGGAAAGAGGAAGTAAGTTATTGACTACTTCGTTTGCCCCGATTAACTAACTATTTGGTTTTACAAAGTAATTGGTTATTAAAAACTGATTGAGATTGCGCTTCATTCATTATTAAAATTAAGTCCGTTATATTTCGTGTTCCGATTGACCAAATAACTTCTTTCAATAAATTAATTTTTTTATGTAAGGTCATGTCCGACAGCTTGGTCATTTCAACCAATATCTTACATAAAAAGATTAATTGATTGAAAGGATTAAAATTAAGACTGAAAAGGAATAAATTGAATGGTGTAAAAACATACAAACTTCATGCTTAAGGCTTGAAAATTTATAGAAATATCCACTGTTAATTTTGTAGGATGCTTCGTATTTTCCAGTTTATTTACTTTCTTGATTTTTTAGTCTGAGTATGGAATTCAATAAAATAATATGCTTATTAGGTTAATGTCCAAGTGAGCAACCTTTATATTTTTATTATAGGTAAGGTTGAATTCTTAGGACATAGAGGGTGAATAAGTTTAATGTTTTTTTTTCTTTTAAGCGGTGTAAAATTTACATCCTGTCTTGGATGAGAATTCAACGTGTTTGAATTTATTTTACCCGGCTACAAAATTAAAAAGCCTCTTTTTCTTTTCCGACTCCGACATTCCGTCCCTATTCGTCTTTCAAGAAAATCCAGATATGTCTGTGGGATGAGAACTAATGACAGCTTTGTAAAAGTATTTCTCTTTCAAGTTTCAACCAACCCGAGCTATAAGTTGAACCAATCTTTTGGGGAAAAAAAACTCCACGTCTTAATTTACCCAACAGTTCCAAATTTACAAATTTTTTGGGATGTTTTTCATGTTGATTATTTATAGAAAAATCAAGTTGGATCATCCAAAGTCTTGTCGGTTACGTAACGACAGATCTGGACAAATGTTGGCATTCGAAAGTTGGGACGTGTGTTATTAGAGTGGATTTCTAAAGCTTAACTCGTTGGAAATTAGTCTATTAAAGAACCTTAAATTAATTCATTAATTAGTTTTTAATTCTTTTAAAAAGTTCTAACAGATTATATAAGAATGGGCGAAATCTTCGTCAGTTTTTTTTAACATAAATCGGTTTTTTTCAACTCTAATCCGCTAATTTTAGCTTGTTCATCAGCTGCTAATCCCCAAACAAAATGACCACATTGCTTTGTAAATTATTATTTTGTATCTATTTTTTAATGTACTGAAGTGTTGATAGGACTGCGGAGGCCGAGAACATAGGATGCCCGACTTGGACTTGCCACATGAGTGGTTTTGACTTCGTCCCCCATGGTTTTTTAGTTGAGAATTACATGAAAGATGAAAAAGTACTTGTCCCCTCACCGTACCAGCCAGCGGGTAGTTGGAAGTTAAGCCATCCTGTTGATTTTAAAAATGTTTGGTTTTTAGAAAAACAATACGAGGATTCATTCAATAAATTTGCAATACCGAAGAGGCCGTTGCTCTCCTCAATTTTGTCCCTCTACTTTCCTCAACTTTACAAATTTTCCATCTCAGTATTTTCACTCCCAGGTAGAAAAGGCGTTCCAGGTAGTCTGCCCCTTTCAAAAAGAAAACTGTCCTACATTTGTGTCCGATGCAATAAAACAAACGTCAAGCATATTTTAAATTCTATCTGAAGTTAAATTGTAAGTTGTACTATCTTTCTGGTTGCTATTCATCGAAAAATACCATTTTTTTCGTCATACCTTGAAAAAGATAAATTCCCTAACTCTTTACACTTTGTTATAACACATTATTAAATTTAGACCTAGCTTAAACTTTTATGATAAAGTCTGTAAATAAAAGTGAGTGCTATTTTAAATTAGTTTTGGATTCATCAATGAACATACTAGGAATCTTTTTTATTCTCAGAAATTTTTAAGTATACATTTAAATAAAGTCCTTTACTACTTCGCCTTTGTGATCAGCTCGGTCGACAAACGTTAACATAAAAAACAATTCATTGCGAAAAAGTAGAACAGATGATTGACCAGTTTGTTAGAAAGTCGAACTTTTATGCGACTACATCGACAATAATTTACATTTTTTATGTTACTTTTATGGTGTTTTTTTCAAACATGGATAGCCAACAAGAACTTTTGATCCTGCTCCGTCCTGCACATATGTCGAAATTTTCCCATTTTAACACATCCCAGTAACGGAATGGTAAAGTCAGTTAAATGTGGGAGATAAATGAAGGATTAGAAAAACATTAACCCACAAAAGACGCATGGACACATTACAAACGCATGTGTACAACAATCCCCTCCTGATTCTTATGAATACAAAGCGGAGGAGTTGTCAAATGTAGGGTCTAATCCCTAAATCTTTGTTGTTTGTTGTTGGCTGTTGTTACAGAATGCACACCTTGACACGAACGGTAGCAGAGCAAATGGTTCACATTTAATGTACACACGTATAAACACAATTACTCGCTCCGTCCCCCATTACATAACACGCTGTTGTATTTTCTCGCGCAATTAATAGAGAACCTGATAAATTATTCACTTCGATCATTCATTCACCTTTACACGATCACCGGTTTCTCAAAAAACCCATTAACTTGATTAAAACTGAATTACGCAGTATCTTGATCATTCACTTTTCGCATATACACTCAAATCTTGTTCACCTTCAAAAACTCCTAAATTCACTGATTCACTCATTCACATTTATATTATCCATTTACTTAGTCTTTCATTTGTAAATTCATTTAATTACTCATTCACCAAATAACTCATTCACTTGCTCATTCCTGCATTCATTTGCTTATGGTCGCATTGAAATTATTGCTAATAACTATTGCTTGCATTCTATGTGGTATCGGTTTTATGTGGTTTTGAATATGGTGTTGTGGAATATTCTCATATTCCTCCTACACCGCCATTCTTATTTTCTGCAAATTCTCTGACACCACTGGGCGTGATTTTTGACAACTCGTTCCAAAGGTGTTTAGGATTTAAGTCCGGACTACACGCTCAGCTAGGATCCTAGCTATGTGGAGGAGCCTTGCGTTGTCATACATAAAAATAAAACCGTCGCCAATTAGTGGCATTTGAGGAACAACTTCTGATAACACATCTTCAATATATCGAGCAGCTGTTATGAACCTCGATGTAGATCAAGTTTGTGTGTCCTTCTATAGAAATGCCTGCCCAAAACATAACAATACCACCTCCTAGCATCTCCGGAGTGAAAATGTTAAGGTGATATATCGCTCTCCAATTCTTCTCCAAACCCAATCTCTGCAGTCAAAAGACTTCAAACAAAACCTGGTCTCATCCGAAAACAATATATTAGCCCAATCTTGCTCAGATCAATTGATG